GTCCAGAGAGCGATGAATTCAAAATATCATGTTAAAATGCATGCCATTTGATGTTTGCCTTTCTAGCTGAAAGCTTTTAGGCGGTAAAATTTTTAAAGATTAATCTTTTTTTGTCTTTGTTGTTCACTGGAAATCATTCTAAGCTACGAAAAAGTTGGAACGTTCTTGGAGCTGGAACAAAACTGGATCTCTTTTTTTTTAATTGTTTCGAAAATTGTAATAGAAACAGATACAATATCATTGTATACTAACAGTTTTTTAAGCTATTGCATAGCTATTATCGCGGGCCTTGAGCGCGGTGACCGAATCATGAAATTCCGTAACGAAAAAAACCTAACACCGCTCACTCCGCCTACCATGTAGCTCGCGCGTTCAACACACTCACACGTTGCGCTTGTGTAGTGTTTGTGAATAAGCGCGTGGCGTGGCGTCACACTGCATGTGCATCATGAAAAGTCTGCCCATCTCTCTCTCGCGCGGTCTAGCTTATGAGTGTGAAGGGGACAGTTAAGGTTTTGCTTTTATTAATGTTTAATATAGCGTGGTCTTGTTCTATTATTGTTTTAATATTAAATTATCATTGTCTAATTATAATTGCATAAGTTGATAAAAAATGCTATGCAATAGCTTTACCGCGGTAGTTCCCGAGTGCCACACGTTTTTTTTTAAGCGTTGAGACGTACTCACGGCTTCTTTGATTCCCGTAGCCCATAGACATATCTACGTAAAAGTTGCCACCTACCTTTACATTTAAGACCAAGTAATTTAAGATCAAGCTAAGTAATATGAAAATTTTAAGAAGCAAACTGTAACATAATCAAACTTATTTATTCAAACTCTTTTTTTGCGCTTCCTATGCTAAAGCTTTCAACCCATTGTATTTCAATATTTTTTTGTGATCATTTAAAAATTCTATTGATACTCTCTAAGCGGAAAGGATTGTGAATGGTCGGTAAGCAACTCTTAAGTAGTACCATAAATATGGCACCTTTACCCCGAATAGGACTTTTGATGCATATTATGCTAAGATGACCACCGATGACATAGTCTTAAATATTCAGATTAGTTTCAGATTAGTGGGTCTCAAAGGACATGTTAACCCTAACCCAAATAAATGAGAACTGACTCCAAAACTTGTCAATTATCTTATATCCTACAAAAATTAGAACATTTTTCGTTGGGTTTGACTCTCCGAAAATGCTAACACAAATCGTCTTCTCGCATTAAAACTGTATAATCTCAAAATTCACTAAATTTTACAGGAGAGTGTTTTAAAGGTTTAACATATGATATTTTTAATATTAATAATCTTTGCAACATTATTTTTTTTGTTTTTACCAGTTACATTATCTGTCTTTTAAAGTAAGATAAAATTATGTATTGATTTTGTTAATAGTACCTAGTAAACTATGCTCTTTTGACAGTATTTATGAGAAAAATACTGGTGATACCAAATGATTTGGCATATTAACTCAATTTCGAATATTTTTGGAAATTGTACACTTTTAATGTGAAAAGACGAAATGGTACCAGTGATTTTTTTTTTATCTTTATTTAATGGAGAACGTGTTTTACAAAATATTAATATTGTGCATTCTTTATATATAACAATTTAAAGTACTTATTTTTAATACGATAGGTATTTCATATTTACTTTTTCAAACTCATCGTCAGAGCGAAAAAGGATTGACTAAACTGAATTCCACAAAAAACTAAAGAGAAATTAATACAAATATCAATTTGTATGAGCCCCTAAAACCCCGAGGCGAACTCAGCTATATATAGTAAATACATAGTAATCTGTGGCCCGAATGCGGCCCTAAAATGTTTGAATAGAAAGCCCTCAGGGAAGCCTGTTGTAGACATTGTACAAATTTGTATTATAAATGAATAAAAAAATGTATAATGATTTTTTTTAAGAATTTTTTATGTTTCATTTTTCATAAGAATTTTACATTGTTCAGTAGATTCAAAATTTTATACTTTTATTTTATTTTGTAGCTGAATGTACTTGATTAAATAACAAAAAACCGACTGAAGACCAGTGATTACTGTCAAATTTATACTTACCCCTAAAAGACGCACAATACGAAGACATTTTGTATATTTACGTAAGACTAATTGATATTCCAATTTAAGGATCCTAATACGCTATTAGATTGCACAGACACCAATCTTTCGAAATACTACTGCACAACGTTTTACAAAAGAATTTCTAAGAGCATTTAATTTGGATCAAGGCTCTGCTGAAGTCAGCTCAGATATCTGCTCAGTGTCGCATTGCACGTTTTCGAATCAAGAAACACCGTACCACGATAAATTTAGCTACAAATCCTTCCCCCAGGCTCTCCATGGGGAAGGCAGAAGCAAATCCAACACGTAAATTGAAAGTGTGATGTTCTATCTAGCCGACGTTTTAAACGGCTACTCTAATCAACAATTCTGCCATATGGTAAGCCTTAATAATGTCGCAAAATTCATGCCAATTGTGCTCAAGGAAGAAAATTAGAGGCTCGGAACAATATACATATATATAACAAACGGCCGTCTGGTGTAGTGGTAAGTGACATGATCACTACACAAGGGGGTCGCGGGTTCGAATCCCGCTAAGGGAAGATATTTGTATGATAAATGTAGAAATGTCTTTTCCAGGGCTATGGATGTTTATTAAATATATGTATGTGTATAATAAAAATCTTACATTTATTTCCGTTATCTGGTACCTGTAATACAAGTTCTTTACGAACTTAGTACGGGACCAGTTAATGTGGCGTGATTGTTAGTATATAAAAAAAAATATAAAAAAATAACACACCTTACACAAAATATATTTAGGGGTCCAAGTGCTAAGCCGATTTTTCGCCTAGTGCCGCGGCTATAAGGTCAGACATAAGAGCCTATAGATATCGTATGAATGTGGTAGCATACATTGGGACATAAAAGGACAGTCACTGTAAGACTGCCTCGTGGAAAGGATAGAGAGAAAAATGGTACCTACCCGTGCGGGCACACTATAAACTCTACTATCACTAAATACAAGTAAGTATCAGTAACAGATAAGTAATAATGATTATTGGCACATCAACTCAATACTTCTATATTATTATGTTATATATTCTACAATTGAAAATTAATAAAGTATCCATGATTCAAAAACGTTATAGAAATAATAAATAATTAAATAAGATTGAAGATAACGTTTTAAGGACTGAGCAAACCCTACGGCGTAGCAAGTCGTAACAGCTGCGTAGCGGGCGTGCTACGATTGGCATTTCGGTACTGCAAATTACCCAATATCAGTTGGTCAGGATTCCATGAGAGTTGCCATTTTGAAAACGTAATCTCGTTGTTTTTTTTTTTTTTATTGTCTTTGTAGGCAGACGAGCATACGGCCCACCTGATGGTGAGTGGTTACCGTCGCCCATGGACTTCAGCAATGCCAGGGGCAGAGCCAAGCCGCTGCCTACCGCTTAATACTGTCCACAAGCCTCGTCTGAAGAAGGACATGTCATAGCGCTCGGGAAACACCTATACACAAGTTGCTATACAAATAACGATTAAATATTGTAGTACGTGCAAACTTTTTAAAATTGACTGTAGATTTTTACACGGAAATGCTTGTGCTTGCGAATAAGAGTTTACTACAAACAAGCAAATTAACTGAAATAAAAATTTGATCAATGAAATTATGTAGTCTAGAGAGAGAGAGCGGCAGAGGGAGAGAGAGAGCGAGAGAGAGTATTCGTTATTGTACACATTGTTCAATATATATAATACATATTGTATAATAAATAAACAATGCAAAACAATAAATACAAAAAAGTACAATTGGCATTTAATTTGTTTTTAGCGATAACGCTAAAAACAAATTGTGAAAATAAGCTGCAATGACTTTATTAGTGAATGTGGAGTAGTCTTTGGTAATGGTGAACACTTCTATAGTTACTTGTATAGTATTTTCTTGAAATCACGTCATATGGAAAGGAAAACACGGTGTCAATGAGCCTTACTTTTTAAGATTTTTATTATTGCCCTAATAGGCAGACGAGCACATGGCCCATTGCGAAGTTGTCGTGGCCTAAAGGATACGACGTCCGGTGCATACGTGTTGAGCGATGCACCGGTGTTCGAATCTCAGGCGGGTACCAATTTTTCTAATGAAATTCGTACTCAACAAATGTTCACAATTGACTTCCACGGTGAAGGAATAACATCGTGTAGTAAAAATCAAACCCCCAAAATTATAATTTGCGTAATTACTGGTAGTAGGAGCCCTTGTGAGGCCGCGCGGTTAGGTTTTTTTTTTTTTTTTTTTTTTTTTTTTTTTTTTTTTTTCCTACCTAAGCTGATAGCCCTAGCGGCTATTTCAGCGTAGCCTTAACTTTAGTAGGTGAGCTCACGGGGCTCAAACCTGACGATGTTGCTAACACGAACCCTAGCAAGAGTCGTGCTTCGCAGAATCTACCACCGGATCGGAAACGCGACCCACTGAGAAGATCCGGCGNGCTGGCGGCCGACTCGAACTCCATTTCCGACTCGGAGTCGGAGCCGGAGCTCGATGCCGCGCATGACGCGATCGACGCGGGCGCGGGGGTGGGGGGCGACATCGGTGAGTCGGGGATAGTCGCGGCTACTAGGCTAGCTTTGTACGCCCTAAACTTCGACATAATGTCCGGGCAGTACTCTCGAACGAATTTCGCGAACCGCGGTTAGGTACGACCACCTTGCCTATTTCAACCGTGACGCAGTAATGCGTTTTGGTTTGAAGGGTGGGGCAGTCGTTGTAACTATACTGGTGGCGCATTTACGTTGTGGATGTCTATGGGCTCCAGTAACCACTTAACATCAGGTGGGCTGTGAGCTCGTTCACCCATCTAAGCAATAAAAATTAAAAAAAACCTGATAGTGAATGGTTACCGTCGCTCATCTACGTCACAATGCCAGAGGCAGAGCCAAACCGCTAACTGCCCTTAAAGGCTTATATTTCCCCATGCACTTACAATGCAGAACTTGGAGTCTTTAGGGCATTCGTCCAATCTAGCAGCACTTCGATTGCTGCATGGCGTGATGGAGCCCACGCCGTCGCTGTACTGTCCGCACTTCCAGCATCTGATGGATGAAGCGGCCACGGCAAGCGACACGACGACCAGCGCTGTTGCAAGTCGGCTCGACATTTTCTGGGAACGAAATGCAGTTTATGTAACTTCTGGGAGCAAAACGCAGTTTATGTAACTTCTGGAAACAAAACGCAGTTTATGTAACTTCTGGGCACAAAACGCAGCTTATGTCACTATCAATAGACAAATATTTTTACTGGTGGTAGGACCTCTCGTGAGTCCGCACGGGTAGGTACCACCACCCTGCCTATTTCTGCCGTGAAGCAGTAATGCGTTTCGATTTGAAGGGTGGGGCAGTCGTTGTAACTATACTGAGACCATAAAACTCATATCTCAAGGTGGGTGGCGGCATTTACGTTGTAGATGTCTATGAGCTCCAGTAATCACTTAACACCAGGTGGTCTGTGAGCTCGTTCACCCATATTAGCAATAAAAAAAGGAAACGGATTATGTACCGGAACCCACAGATGTAGCATGGTGAATATTGTCACTCATACAAGATCAAAATCACTTGTGAAGTCTTTATACTGGTGAAACCCTGCCTATTTTTACCGAAAATCAGTAATTCGGTTCGGTTTGAAGGATAAGCCAGCAGTAGTACTGAAAACTGAGACCTTAGAACTCGTGTCTCAAGGTGGTTGGCGGCATTTACATTGTTAATGTCTATGGGCTCCAGTGACCACTTAGTCTTAAAAACCGGGAACGGGAGCTCGTCGACATATCCTAGGAAAATATTATAATAATCGGAGACAAATAGGCGCCAGTTAATAATAAATAGTATTGTATTGTTTTTATAATTTTATCTACAAATCTTTAACTTGTCTTGCCGAATGTAGATTAGTTTCAAAGAAAATCTCAAGTATCATTTTAAACTGATCATCCGAAAAATCTACGCTAAACTCTAACACAAAATTCAATCAGCTCAACTTAAGATGATAATCATGATTATGGAAACTAATATTTTTTCTGTTACGTAAAATCTTACGATTTTATTGTCAGTGTATTATTTCCGAATATTTTATAGTATTCGTGTTCACGGTCGACTAAAATACCCTTTACTGTAAAAAAAAATTACACAGGTACCAAAAACCGGACTACAGGAATACATTTTATCTGATTACCTAAGATACAGTCAAGCCTAATTACAAGTAGAGTAAGAGCCTAATTACAACAACCAAAAGGCAAGGTCTCAATCAAAAAAATCGGGTAGGTACCACCACTCTGCCTATTCGGGTAGGTACTACCACTCTGCGTCTTCGGGTAGGTACCACCACCCTGCCTATTTCTGCCGTGAAGCAGTAATGCGTTTCGGTTTGAAGGGCGGGGCAGTCGTTGTAACTATACTGAGATCTTAGAACTTATATCTCAAGGTGGGTGGCGCATTTACGTTGTAGATGTCTATGGGATCCAGTAACCACTTAACACCGGGTGGGCTGTGAGCTCGTCCACCCATCTAAGACATAAAAAAAAGCGACATTAAAATAACATTAAACTGAAATTTTATCTCTAGTCAAATCTTTAATCAAAACATCATCATTTGAGTCGTCTATTATCAAAGGTGGCAATCTGAGCGTTTGGACAAAAATATGTTATTGATATGTCAATACAGATTGATTTGAATATAATCGTCTCCTTCAAAGAATACGGTTCAAAACCTGCATTAAATAAAGGTTAATACATAACCTGTTATTTATCTAAGATGTCGTTCAGAAGAGTTCTGTGACTGCCAATGGAATACAAAGTCAATAATTCGTTTTTCTGATTTACCAATAATTGTCCAAAAGTCACATTGCCGGCTTTGATAATAGTCGACTCATTTCTCACTCACCAAAACGCGCAAATTTCTAAATATAAATAAAACAAGCAAATCACATTTGCAGGTATATCACGCACCCCGTCACTCTGAACGCAATATGAATTATGAACGCGGTCAGGTCACAGAGGGATTTATGTTCCCATCGGATTCCTGATTCGGATAAAACATTAAAACGGATTCGAAGATTAATATACGCGGAATCGTAATCACGGTGGGTTTTGCATATCCCTCTACATATATTTAACCTAATATCAAGACACGAAGATCTCAATCGCAATCGCTATATTAATATAAACACTGATTACTCATCGTTCCTTAAGTTTTTTTTATAGCTTAGATGGATGGACGAGCTTACAGGCCACCTGGTGTTAAGTGGTTATTGGAGCCCATAGGCATCTACAACGTAAATGCGCCAACCACCTTGAGATACGAGTTCTAAGGTCTCAGTATAGTTACAATGGCTGCCCCAACTTTCAAACCGAAACGCATTACTGCTTCACGGCAGAAATAGGTAGGGTGGTGGTCCCTACCCGTGCGGACACACAAGAGGTCCTACCACCAGTAAGTCACATACGTCTTCTCACAGTCTTTCACATAACTCTCTTTAAGCGATGTTGAAGCTGCTATGACTATGATTCGGCAGAAAACTTTCTTATTATAATGCATTAGTATTTTCCATACCAGTTGTATCACTTACCATCCATTTATTTATTGTGTATTCTGTTTAAATTCATCGAAAATGTATAAGAATTTACGTTGTAGATGTCTATGGGCTCCAGTAACAACTTAACACCAGGTGGGCTATGAGCTCGTCGTCCCATATAAGCAGTAAAAAGATATCGGTGTAATTTAATTATTACGAGTATATGTTTAACGACACAATTAGACTACAGATGCTATAAATTAGTACTAAATACACACCCACTACTATAGCTTTTAATGTATGTATTAACATTGTTCTTGGCATGGAGGACAACTGCATTTAAATGGCTATACATTTGCAATAAATCCAGATCTAAGGTAAAAATTGTCCTATGACAACACAACTAAGTCACGACTGCCATCGGTTTCAATGCGCGATGGTGGTTTATATCATGATTAATGATCCTACTGAAAAATCTGCGATGTTAATTATACCTCTATGGTAATTCCCGAGCCCTATGACAAATCCTACTTCAAACGAGCCTTGTGGAGAATACTCAGGAGTACGCAGCGACTTGAATGTGTTCCTGGCATTGCTGACCTCCATGAGTGCCGGTTATTACTCACCATTAGATGGACCGTATGCGTATCATCTGCCCGCAAGATCAATTTTTCATCAAAAATCACATACTCAAATAAATACTATCACTTTCAATCCTTGGATACTAAAAGAACCATTGCCAATTCCAATATTGTTTCACTTTTGCTCATACCATTTCAGATCGCAAGCGTAATCACCGATAAAAATGTGGTTCACGAAATGATAATCAAAAGTGAGTTTTATGACCAGCCGTGTGTGGACTATGTACCTTGGTACACGATTAACTGGGCAGTAGAGACGCCGAATTTTATGACGCCGGTTTTAAAATTTATTAGATGACTCTTTTTAGGTGGAGTCAAAATGGCTACGTTATTAATGAAGCTCTAGGGTAGTTTATAGCTTTTCTTGCAAGTTCGGGGTTTTACGAGATGGTCCCGAATTGAATTTTTCATTAAGCTTTATCATATTTTTGCTCTGAAAGCAAATAAAAAGTTGTTTTCTAATGTGATAAAAAATATATATATTTGGAAATTCGCATTACAGCAAAAAGGGATTTGACATAATGGATTATTTTTTAAAGCCTAAACGATATATCATCGTTCAAATTAGAACTGGTTCGTCGTAAAAACTGGGAGCATAGACGTACCTACCGACTGGATATATAATGCCCACTACAGTCATTAAATATTGGTTAAAAATTTATGTGATGGGCAAACATACTTTCTAATGGCCTAATCGAGGTAGGTTAAGATACAATATTGTAAAAATCAAAGATGATAAACCAAAAGAAAAGCCGAAACATTGCTTCTAATGCTCCACGCAAAGTGAAAGAAAGTCATAAACTACCCACATTTTTGGTAAAATACTTAGCTAAATTGCATGTTTTTACATTGGTGGTGGAGAGGATTTTTTTAAACAGACAATTTTAAGTGTATTGAGTAGAAGCCTATGTACTTCAAAAAGTAGTCTCACCATATTTTTTTCATTTGACATACGAAATCCCCGCTGTTGCAACTGCAGACTAATTTGAGTTAACTTTTACGCTATCGAGAACGTTAAAAAACTCGCATTAAGCACACTGAGGAAATGCGTAGAGTATGTGGAGCTGCTGAAACCAGTGGGGGGTTTTGACTTTCTTGCACTCTCGTCTGAACACAAGAGTTCTGCTCGAAACAGAGCCCCGAAGAAGCATGACTGTTAGCCGCGATCAATACTTTTTTTTTATTGCTTACATGGGTGGATAAACTCACAGCCCACCTGCTGTTAAGGGTTACTGGAGCCCACAGACAACTACAACGTAAATGCGCCACCCTCTTTGAGATATAAGTCCTAAGATCTCAGTATAATTACAACGGCTGTCCTAACCTTCAAACGGAAACGCATTATTGCTTCACAGCAGAAATAGGCGGGATGGTGGTACCCACCCGTGCGGACTGACAAGAGTTCTTACCACCAGTAATTATGCAATCATAATTTTGCGGGTTTGATTTTTATTACACGATGCTATTCCTTCACCGTGGAAGTCAATCGTGAACTTTTCTTGAGTACGTATTTCATTAGAAAAATTGGTACCCGCCTGCGGGATTCGAACACCGGTGCATCGCTCAACACGAATGCACCGGACGTCTTATCTTTTAGGCCACGATGACTTCAGAAGTGTTAACGTCACTACCTACAACTAACTCCATTCACACTTCACTGAAACTACAATCCGAATTGGACTACAACATCAAATATGAAATTACGGAACGTATTTTGAGAGCAACTATTCATATTTCGTTGTGAATTTTTTTAATTACAGCCCTACTGGCGGCAGGTAGAGCGAAGTCAAGTGCGCGCTAACAATGCGCCCGCCACAATGAACTCTACATAGAGACAGTGTTCCCACGTGTGGAAAGGAGGCTGGATCATATGTTCGTTCGTCTCGAGATTCTTGCGTTAGAATTTTGCAAATGTTTTCTTACGTGCAAAATTCAACTTTCAGAACACAAAACACGTAAT